TCAAGGTTCACCCACATTGTAGCCTCTTTCAGAATGTCCTTCTAAGGTTGGATAATATTCCACTGCATGTATATACCACATTTTGCTTATTCATTCATTTGTTGATGGATATTTGGGTTGTTTCCTCTTTCAGCTACTGTGAATAATGCTAAGGATATGGGTATACAAATATTTGTTCATGTCTTCAGTTCTTTTGGATATGTACCCAGAAGTAGAAGTGTTGGAATTATACTACCTACATATGGTAGGTAATGCTATATGTAAATTTTTAAGGATCCACTGTACTGTTTTCAAGGACTTCCCAGGTGGCGCTAGTGGTAAAGAACCAGCCTGCCAGTGAAGGAGATATAAGAGACTTGGATTCGATCCCTGGGGCAGGAAGATCCCCTGGAGGAGGGCGTGGTGACCCAGTCCAATATTCTTGCCTGGAGAATCCCATGGACAGATGAGCCTCATGGGCTACAGTCCATGGGGTTGCAGAGTTGGACACGACTGAAGAGACTTAGCAGCGTCATAATATTTTCTACAGTGGCTGTACCATTCCCACCAGCAACGCACAAGGGTTCCAGTTTCCCCACATCTCCATCAATGCTTGTTATTTTCTTTGTGTGTGGGTGTGTGTTTTTTTAAAATAATAGTCATCCTAATGAGTGTGAAGTGTCACCTCATTTCGGTTTTGATATGCAGTCTCCTAATGATTAGTGACACTGAGCATCTATTCATGTGTTTATTGGCCATTTGTGTATCTTCTTTGCAGAAATGGCTATTCAAGTCCTTTGCTCATTTCTAAAATTGAGCTTTGTTGTTGTTGAGTGAGCCTTAGGAAAATTTTATTCCCATCCCACTCTCTTCTCCTTAATGAAGTGTGGCCATATGTTGATATGTTTGCCAGAAGGAGAGGAGTAGCTTAAGGGGGCTGGGCGACTCCAGGAAGAGGGACCATCAGTATGCATATTGCACAGGAATACGTCCACCCTCTTATCATATGAAGCCTTCCCCACTCAGCCCCACCTGCCGGTCCAGTCTGATTTTCTGTCCCTGACAAGCCCAGTGCTCCAGTGCTCCAGTGCGTTTATTTACTTGCAGTCCCACAACTTCCTGAAGCACTTTCGCATTCAAACCTTTGCAGAGGGCTTACCTTTTCCGTGAAGGCTTTCCTGATCCACCTCACTCATTCTCACGGCTCATCACTTGTTCATTCATTCCAGAAATATCCACTGAACACACACTTGTTGCCAGGTACAAAGCTCTGTGCCAGATACTCTGGCCTCAACGGTGAATCAAGCATTTGCTGCTTTTAAAGAACTCCTTGCCTAATGGGGGAAATGAGTAAGTTATCTGTCAGTTACAACGTATTGTGAATAACTGCCAAGATGTAAGTAAAAAGGGTGAAGAAGATGATCTTCCTGAGCTAAGAGCTGGAGTCAGTATTTCTGGGCTGTTGTGAACATTCTTATCTTTTGCACATTACTTTCAAGCTTGTATTTTATTATTTTTATATCCCTTACCAGAATTGTTTATAAACAGCCATTGGCTTCTGTAACGTGCACCCTTTTCTCACCAAGAGCAGTATTCCAGCTGGGGAGTGTTTCCCTTATACTAGGCTTCCCTGGTGGCTCAGATGGTGCAGATTCTAACCTGCAGTGCAGGAGACCTGGGTTCCACCCCTGGGTTGGGAAGATCCCCTGGAGAAGGGAATGGCCAGCCACTCCAGTATTCTTGCCTGGAGAATCTCATGGACAGAGGAGCTACTGGCGGGCTACTGTGCAACTAATAGACTTTTCCCGTACTCTGGGTTATTTGATGGCTGTCTGAAGGCTGCAGTTCAGACTGTCTATATTCAGGCAGACATGTAGGGTCATCTGGGGGCTTGTGGGCCTAGCCCTGCCCTGGCCAAGCTTCCTGGATATGTAAGTGTGCGCAGATGGCCACGAAAGTTACGGAAATCCACTGTTGATCCTGGCCTCATGCACTGAGTATGGCGCCAAGCAAGAGCTCAGTAAACGTTTCTGGTTTTATTGATTTCACGTATCGTGGAGGGTTATTTATCTCTTTTACCATCAATGAGTCCACAGTCCAGGGTAGGCAGAAGTAGAGTCCTTCGATAGGTGAATCGGCTTTTTAAATTCGATCCAGAAGGAGCATGCGGCCAAACATTTGTCTTTTGCTTTTTTTTGTGAGAAACAGGTTGTTTCCTTGGGTTTTTGGTAGTTCTAGAGTCAGATGACACTAGTGGTAAAGAACCTGCCTGCCACTGCAAGCAGACGTAAGAGACGTGGGTTCGATCCCTCGGTTGGGAAGACCCCCTGGAGAAAGGCATGGCAACCCACTCCAGTATTCTTGCCTGGGAAACTCCATGGACAGAGGAGCCTGGTGGGCTGCAGTTCATGGGGTTGCAAAGAGTCGGACACGATGGAAGAGTCTGAGCAGGAGAGGAAGGTAAAATGGGCCCCGTTGAAAAGTGAAAGGAAAGGAAAGCAGAAGCAGGAGACCTGAGGGAGGTGTGCCTATGGGGCCAGGTTGTTACAGGGGGAGATTTACACTTGAATGCAGGGTTTAACTCGGGAGCAGGAAGGGAGCCTTCTGGGGATTACTGGGGAGGAAGAATCAACATAATATGTGTTTCAAGGGGTAGGGAATGGAGAGAAAGAAAAAGGATTTGAGATATTGGTTTTAGGATTTCGAAGGGAGGATTTAATTTGGAAGATCAGGGATTTACTGTCAGATATAGTGACAATGAAACACTGAATACAGGCAGTCTGAATCGCAACCTTCAGATGGCCCTCAAACATCCCGGTGTGAGGGAAACCACTTCCTAATTGGAATACTCCTGGTGAGGTGAGGGTGTACACTACAGAAGTCATGATTGTGCATAAGTGTTTAAGCCAAAATTCTCCTTGTAGCTCAAATCTCTTTCTTAAAGGATTATTTATTCACAAGCTTGGAATAACTCCATCGCTCTCTCTGTAAGGACTCTGCTGCCTGGCTCTCATCAGTTCCACCAGGCAGGATGAGATGCCTGAAATCAAAGAGCATAGGAAGCCATCAGCCCACTGAGCAAATGATAAACCATCCTGAATGCATGGTGAACGGGGATTTGCGATATCTCTTCAAACACAAGCAAAGTGTCTGTTGGGTCTGTCTTTCCTGGAACCTGAGTCAGGGCACTTGCTGGAATCCTCAGGAGGCTGAGCCTGTGGGTTAATGTGCTGATGGGAGTGAGGAAGTATGGAACACCCCGCACTCCCCCCACCCCGCCCCAGTTCCAGAAGAGAGCATGGGTCATGGATGGTGTGATCGCGGGGTGCCTGTCCTCAGGGCAGCGAGCCCGTTTATGTGAGTGACGGTGGTCAGCACAGCCTGGCCACTGTGACTTTCCGTGTGATATTAAATTTTGGCACCTCCATCTCCCACCCCCTACTGCTTATAGCTGTTGCAGATCTGTTATTCATGTAAAATCCCCTTGGCTGTGTCCCAGGGGAGAGAAAGACCTGGGTGAAATCCTGCATATACCTCTTAATAGCCATGAGGTTTGGGGACAGGTCCTCAGCTCTCTGCTTTGGATTTTAATTTGTAGAAGTGAGAGGATAATATGCCCCTTAGAGTATCACTGCAAGGAATAAGTAGCACAGTTTTATAAAGTGCCTGGTACCGGGTGCCGCCCTCAATGACTGGGACGTAGTGAGTGATTTACAGAGCACGAGTTGCAGTACTCACTCTCACTGATGCAAAAACGTAAAGTGGTTTCTTTGTAATGTGTGTGTGTGTTCAGTCGTCCAGTCATGTCTGACTCTTTGCGACCCCCATGGACTGTAGCCTTCTCTGTCCATGGGATTCTCCAGGCAAGAATACTGGAGTGGGTTGCCATTTCCATCTCTAGGGGATCTTCCTGGATCAGGGGTCAAACCTGTGTCTCCTACATTGGCAGATTCCTTATACTGGGCCACTAGGGAAGCTTCTTTGTGATACCTGAACTTAATTTCTTTTTCTTTTTTTAGCCTCCTTTCTTACTGTCAGATAGTGGAAATTTATCTCCATCAACTCAGAGTCTTAGCTTTCTCACCTCTCTGGGGAGGTCTGGTTACGGGTGGCTGTCTCTCTTTTTTTTAAAAAAAGCATTTATTTTTAATTGGAGGATAATCGCTTTACCATGTTGTGTTGGTTTCCGTTGTACAACAGTGTGAATCAGCTGTAAGTCTGCATGTATCTCCTCCCTCCCAAGTCTCCCTTGGTGGCTGTCTCTTGCCTCCTTCCTTTCTCCCTTTTTCCAGTCCACAGTCTTGTCAGCAAAGGTAGAGGCTTTACTTTCTCCTCTCACCAGCAAGGTCTCTCCAGATCTCCCTTTTACTTGGTTGCGTCTGTGCTCTTCTCAGACACACAGTGGATCTGGCCCACACCACACTGGAGCAAGGAAACGCTCTCTCAAGTCTGGCTGCCTACCATCCCCACACCGCCTCACCCTGTGTGAGCGTCCCCAGAGAGGTCTTAAGGTAGAATCTCCATGGGGTCTTTATCCTGTCCTTTGCACCAGTACTGGCCGGGAGATGAGGTGGGAACACAGCTCAGTGTCTGACGATCTTCACTTCCTCTTTGCACACATTTTCTGTAGGAGCCCAGTAGGATAATAGCTTTTCTCTGGGGTTTCCCCAGTGGCTCAGCTGTAAAGAACCTGCCTGCAATGCAGGAGATGTGGATTCGACCCCTGGGTCTGGAAGATTCCCCTGGAGAAAGAAATGTTAACCCACTCCAGTATTCTTGTCTGGGAAATCCTATGGACAGAGGAGCCTGGCGGGCTACAGTCCATGGGGTCACAAAAGACTCTGACATGACTGAGCAGCTAAACAATGGCAAACAACAAAAGCTTTAGGAATGCAGACTTTTTTTTGGCCTTAAACTCAGCTGTGAGTTTCATGTTTGAAACTCCCAAATCAAGAATTGACTTTTTCTTTTTCTCAGCATTTTCTGCTGTGCCATCTCTTTCCTGAGGCACTAAGTGTTGAATGTTGAAAGCCTGCCTGGGGAGCGAGAGGTGGGTAGAAGGTTTTGCAGAGCATGAGAGCCTTGGTTACAATCTCAAAATATTTTTCTACTGCACTGCTGTTATTATATCCATCCTCCATACAGTTTCAACCCCATGGGGCTGAGTTGAAGATTGATTTGCTTTAGTGTTGGAGCATTTGAGAATGATTCTGTTTTGACCTGTTGTTGGCAAAGTAAAAAAAAAAATTAAAGAAGTGGAGAGGGAAGCCAAGAAGAAAATCAGATACAACTCCTGGTCTAGAAAGTGTTGGTTTAGTGTAGCGCTAAATGCAACTCTGGCCGCATTTTGCTTTTTAGTCTCCCAAAGGTTATGCCACTTTTCTTGATCTGTTTTCTTATTTCCTTGTCCATAGTCCCTCACTGGATGCTTGGCTGCCTAGGCAACAGCATTTGGGCCCGCTCTCAGCAGTGTGGTACTAGAGAATGTTTTGAGCTCTGTGTGTGGAGTGTTTTGTGCAATTTGCTGTGTGGTCTTGGTCTTCCCATTGTTGGTGGATACACTTCTGCAGACTCAGCAAAGCCATCAGACCCATTTGTGTATCTTCTTGGGTATAGGATCTGAGAGGAAGGAGTTATCTATATTTCAAAGATGTCATCATCATCTCCATCTTCAGGTGACCACACTGATGCTAGTGGCATCTCCCCGCGTCCCTTGCTTATAAGTGTCTGGCCAATGTTCTTTTGAACTGTGCTATGTTGTCAGCGGGGCACTTGGGACCCAAAATAGTGACTTTTACCTACACAGCAACCCCAGGAAACAACACTCAAATGATTGCATAGGTTTCACCAGCTGTGCTAAAGCAAGACTGCTAAAACTGAACTACGGAAGCAGTGCAAAGAGTTCACCCTCACCCCGGTTACTGTCCGACTTTGTGACCGCATGGACTATAGCCGGCTGGGCTCCTCTGTCCATGGGATTCCTCCAGGCAAGAATACTGGAGTGGGTCACCATGCCCTTGTCCAAGGATCTTCCTGACCCAGGGATCAAATCCCATTCTCCTGCATTGCAGGCAGATTCTTTACCCTCTGAACAACCAGGGAAGCTCAGTTAGAGTCACAGTGGCCATTTATGGAACAGCTCTTTTGTGCCTGGTACTGTGCTAGACTCTTTGCATGTGTTATTCAACTTAATTTTCCCAACAAAGCTAGAAGACAGGCACTTTATAATTAGGAGAATGAGTTTAGAGAGATTAAGTGGCCTGTCCCTGGCCACACAGAGAGTGAGTGGAGCCAGAATTTGAGCCCAGATGCCTCTGATCTTGGAGATCTCGCTCGTAGGCTGGGATGGTACCTGGTAGGCAGGCTTGCTGATCATCTTATTGACATACTGAATCCCTAGCCTTGGTCCTCGCCTAACATAACAGTAGGGGCATGATCTCACTTAAAAGGAAATGATTGATTGCTCATATTAGAAATGAATGCTCTGCGTCTTGAAGCATTTCCTTTCACCAGGGAAATGAAGTTACATAAGAGGCACAGGTCCTTCCCTTTCTGTGTTCCAAGAACCATCAGTTCGCTCTCCAGCCCTGGCACGAATCTCCATGCCACCCTCACTTTCTGGCTTGGTTCACCCTCATCTTATATCAGGATGCTGAGATGGTCTCCAAACTAGTTTTCCTGATGGTTTTCTTATTTTCCTCTAATCCAGCCTTACACAGTGGCCAAGGTACTCTTTCTAATCTAGCAATCTGCTCACGACCCTACAGACATCTCCCATGTGCCTAGAACAACAGTCGGCTCCCATGGGTGGTCTTTGAGGCCCTTGTGACCTGGTGCCTCCTGCCTCTAGGGCCACATTTCTCACTCCTTCTCGGTTACTGGCACCATCCTTTGCCACCTGCAGGCCTTTGCATGTGCTGGTCCATCTCCTAGAATTCCGCTCTCCTCTGCCGTTGGCCGGGCCAGCCTCTGCTCCTCTTCTGCATCTCCGCGTGTGCGTCACCCGCTCTGGGCAGCCTTCCCTGCCTCCTAAGCCTGGTAGAAGCCCCTTCTGTGCTCCTACTGTGCCTCACATGTCCTGTATCAGAGGGATCACCACCCCAAGTCATATGCACTGTGTCCCCTCTCTCCCCGCCAGACGGGAAGCTCCATGCTACGGTGTCCAGCTCCGAACCTGCTGTCTTATCAGCTCTTAGTGACTACTTAGTGAGTAATCAGAGAGTTGTAGTTATCCTGTTTCTTGTGGCCAGTTTTGAATCAGAATAACTTCCTGAAACCTTGGGCTTGGGATGTCGTCATAGTTGGGGGCAACACTTTCCAGGCCACGAATTAGAAATGGCTTCAGAAGTCCTGGGTACGATCGTTTAGGAGCTGTGGGGAGGCCTTTGTTTGACGACAGGAAATCTGAACATCTCCGAATTTAAACAAGCTCAGAGAGCCAGAATGTCATTTAAAAAGCACAGATCCAAGGACTCTTCCAAGTTTCTGTCTCATTCAGTTGGGCTGTTACTAACATTAGACACAGGAGAGCCACACTTTAACCTGCTTAATGAAAGTCCCATTTATGCAATGCGAGCATGCCTGCATGCTAAATTACTTCAGTCGAGTCCGACTCTATGTGACCCCATGGACTGTAGCCCGCCAGGCTCCTCTGTCCACGGGATTTCCCAAGTGAGAACACTGGAGTGGGTTGCCATGCACTCCTCCCCATTTATGCAACAGTCCCATTTATTCTGCAAAATATTAAAGGATAGAACTGCATCTCATTGTTACTTTCTCACTTCTCCCACGCAGGTCTTAAGCCCCTGAAAATGTCTGCCCTGGTTTTTCCTTTTCAGAAGGATCGTCAGAACTCTCTCCTGGGGAGAAGGGACCGAATGGGACTTTTGACACCATCCAGGAGCGGAGAGTTCTAGCCTCTTGGCTCTTGTCCTTACTCTTGTATGATTCCATGCCGAGTTCTCAGACAGACTCATGCTGTCCGTGCTTTACATTTAGCAGCTCAGAGTTCCTAGGCTTTGATATCTGTGTGCATCTGTGGGCTGCCAGAGTGCAGGGAGAGGCTGGGTTCTGGGGCTGCTGTTTGTTGTAAAGGAAAGGCCGGATTTATAGCCATCCTCACAGACCCTGCCCAGGGCTGACAGAACTCTCCCCTCCTTCCCCTCTCTGGCCCTGGGAACCTGGTGGAATGGGCCGAGGGTTAGTGAACACACTCCTCCGCATTTAGGAGGGTTTCTTTGGTGTCATCTGCCACCTCCACAGAGGTCAAGGAGATAAACTGATCTGTCAATAAAATGGTTAACCACTCATGAGTAAGAACTTAAAAAAAATCCCCCAAAGGAGGTGGGTACAACTTTTCTGTGGCTTTGTCTCTTGGGTCCCTTTCATGACTTTCCTCTCCCGTGTGTGCATGTGCATGTATATGCTCAGTCGTGTCCCACTCTTTGCGGCACTTTGGACTGTAGCCTGCCAGCCTACTCTGCCCGTGGAATTTTTCCAGGCAAGAACGTTGGAGTTGGGTGCCATTTCCTACTCCAGGGGATCTAGCCTACTCAGGGGTGGAACCCGCATCTCTTTTGTCTCCTGCATTGGCAGACGGATCCTTTACCACTAGTGCCACCTGAGAAGCACATCTCCCCTCAATTCAGTTCAGTCGCTCAGTCACGTCCAGCTCCTTGCGACCCGATGGACCGCACAACACCAGGCCTCCCTGCCTATCACCAACTCCCGGAGTTTACTCAAATTCCATCGAGTTTGATGCCATCCAACCATCTCATCTTCTGTCATCCCCTTCTCCTCCTGCCTTCAATCTTACCCAGCATCAGGGTCTTTTCAAATGAGTCAGCTCTTCACATCAGGTGGCCAAAGTATTGGAGCTTCAGCTTCAGTATCAGTCCTTCCAATGAACATTCAGAACTGATTTCCTTTAGGATGGACTGGTTGGGTCTCCTTGCAGTCCAAGGGACTCTCAAGAGTCTTCTCCAACACCACAGTTCAAAAGCATCAATTCTTCAGTGCTCAACTTTCTTTATAGTCCACTCTCACATCCATACATGACCACTGGAAAAACCATAGCTTTGACTAGACGGACCTTTGTTGGCAAAGTACTGTCTCTGCTTTTTAATATGCTGTCTAGGTTGGGAGAATCCCATGGACAGAGGAGCCTGGCAGGCTATGGTCTATGGGGTCACAAGACTAGGACATGACTGAGTGACTAACCACACTAGGTTGGTCATAGCTTTTCTTCCAAGGAGCAAGTGTCTTTTAATCTCATGGCTGCAGTCACCATCTGTAATGATTTTGGAGCCCAAGAAAATAATGTCTGTCACTGTTTCCACTGTTTTCCCCTCTATTTGCCATGAAGTGATGGGACCGGATGCCATGATCTTAGTTTTCTGAATGTTGAGTTTTAAGCCAACTTCTTCACTGTCCTCTTTCACTTTCATCAAGAGGCTTTTTAGTTCTTCGATTTCTGCTATAAGGGCGGTGTCATCTGCATGTCTGAGGTTTTTGATATTTCTCCCAGAAATCTTGATTCCAGCTTGTGCTTCATCCAACCCAGAGTTTCTCATGATGTACTCTCTCCCCTCCTTCCACCCACCAAACACGCTCCACGGGCACCTGCACTTCCCAAAGGCTCCAGTAGGGTGCAGTGGTCACCAGGCCTGGGAGATAATTTTTTTTAATTTTATTTTTATTATTTTTCATTTATTTTTATTAGTTGGAGGCTAATTACTTTACAGATTGTAGTGGTTTTTGCCATACATTGACAATTTTTTTAAAAAATAGCATTTTCTTTTGTGCATGTGTATGAAGTATACATCCCTGGGTGGGAAGGATCCCCTGGAGGAGAGCATGGCAACCCAGTCTAGTATTCTTGCCTGGAGAATCCCATGGACAGAGGAACCAGGTTGGCCACGATCCACAGGGTTGCAGAGTTGGATGCGACTCAAGCGACTTAGCACACGCGCACATACATGAAGTATAACCTGTCTACAGGAAAATGCACGAGGCGTGCGTATACAGAAGCAAGTACTTGTGTGGTCATTTCCCTCAGGTGAAGAAGCAGAATATGACCTGCACCTCAAAATACAACCCCCTCCAACATCCATCCCCTCACAATTCCTTCCAACCTTTAGAGTTATCCACACTGTACTGAGTTTTGATGATAATCTTGCTTTACATTAATATTTCTCACACCCAAACACATCTCTAAACGCTACAATGTAGTGTTGGATTTTTTTTTTTTTGATATTTTGATGATTTTGCTGCTGCTGCTAAGTCGCTGCAGTCGTGTCCGACTCTGTGCGACCCCATAGACGGCAGCCCACCAGGCTCCCCCGTCCCTGGGATTCTCCAGGCAAGAACGCTGGAGTGGGTTGCCTTTCCTTCTCCAATGCATGAAAGGGAAAAGTGAAAGTGAAGCCACTCAGTCCTGTCCGACTCCTAGCGACCCCATGGACTGCTGCCTGCCAGGCTTCTCCATCCATGGGATTTTCCAGGCAAGAGTACTGGAGTGGGGTGCCATTGCCTTCTCCGGATGGTTTTGAATGTTGTGTAAATAGAATCATACCATGTGTATTCTTTTGTCTTTCATATTTTTTTGCTCAGGATTATATTTACTTATTTCCACTGCTGTTTAATGACGGCAGTGGTATCGATTGCTGTGACCATAACTCATTTATTCATCGTACATTTGGGTTGTTTCGAGTTTGTGGTAATTATGAGCAACATTACTGTGAACATTCTAGTCTGTGTATCCTGATACACACAGGCGTGCATTTCAATAGGGCACATGCCTCAGTGATGTTGCCGAGTCCCAGGAAATGGATATCTTCAACTCTGTTAGATAATGTTGTACAAATGTCCAAGGAGATTGCTCCTGTTTGAAGCCTACTGGGCAGAATCTGAGGTCCTAATGTGCCACGTATTTGCCAGTCCTCGGTCTTAGACGTTTCAGTCTTTGAAACCCGTGTCTTTTCATCAGGGTTGGGCCGAGGGCAAGGGCACCCTTCCTGATGGCTTCCGTAGGCTCAGGAAGCCGGCAGCGGCTGGCCCTTCCGCTCAGACACAGATGGCAGAAGCGCCATCGCGGGATGCTCATCGGTATTAAACACAGGCAGTCGGTGGCTCCTCGGAGAGAAGAGACAGCATCTCCCCTGGCTGATTCTCTGCTTTTGGAATGCGCCACCCGTCCTCACTGTGGTGATCAGACGCTCCGAACCATCTGGAGAGCTGGGCTGCTCTGGGACGGACATCTGCCGGCAGCTGAAGGGGAAGAAAGGTGAGGCGGGGCCAGGCACGGCCCAGGGCCGCTTCCGAGTGTGGACCCGCTGCCTCAGGCCAGCTCCGCACAACTCAGAGAGGTCTCCTCACTCCTTTTATTTACGCGAGAGGAACTGCCCTGTGGTCACCCCGGGAGTTTCTGATGGGATGACACGGCGATGATTTCCAGTTAACGGACTCAGCCCAATCAATTCTGCTTTTCATCAGGTGTGATTCCCTCCGTTTCAGAATTGGTTGCTGTCACCGGTCATGTCTGCATGCGCGCTAAGTCCCTTAGTCGTGTCCAACTCTGTGTGACCCCAGGGACCGTAGCCCACCAGGCTCCTCTGTCCATGGGATTCTCCAGGCAAGAATACTGGAGTGGGTTGCCAAGCCCTCCTCCAGGGGGTTTTCCTGTCCCAGGAATCGAACCATCTCTTCTGTCCGCTGCATTGCAGGCATGTGTTTACCGCTGGCCCCACCTGGGAAGCCCGGTCGTGTCTGAGCCCCGTGTATAAAACAGGGACAATGTAACCTGCCTATTTCCTGTGCTGTTGGGAGGACAAAAACAAAATAGGGATGTGAGGACACTTTGAACATGATCAAAGTATTTATTGTCTTAGAGTCCTGGATGGGGGCCTTGCTGTAGAGACTCTAAGAGGGAATTTTGATTTTAGGTTAAGTGTCCCCCTGAAAGATGTGACACCCCCCCCCCCCCAGAAGATAACAGTGAGAGCGAGCTCCGTGTGCGGAGAAAGGCAAGGTTGGAACTTGCTTCATACTCTGTCCTTCCTTTTGGCTAGTTCTAACTACTGGGGGGGTGGGGTCGTAAGAAGAGTGGAGGGCTACATTTACCAAGTTCTTACTGGAGCTTGTGGATAATGAAAGACAAAGAGGCAGAAAGGTAGGACACTCCCTGCCCCACAATCAGCTAGACGATTTGCTTCTAAGTCAGAGTTTACTCACCTTCCCAGGTGGTGCAGTGGATAAAGAATCTTCCTGCCAATGTAGGAGACACAGGTTTGATCCCTGGGTCGGTAAGATCCCTCAGAAAAGGAAATGGCAATCCCCTCCAGTATTCTTGCCTGGAAAATTCCACGGACAGAGGAGCCTGGTGGATTGCAGTCCACGGGACTGCAGAGTGTCGGACACGACTGAGCACACACGCGCACATGGCCCACTCATCTGCCCTTCCACCTCCTATTTTCTCCCTGTTTAGCGTCTGAGCATCTGTCTGTCCTCGGACTGGCACAGGCCATCCTAAACCCTTAGTCCCATCAAAGAGCCCTACAAGGAGCCCCCTAAGACTCCTGGTTGGCTGGGGATTGTGCTGATTCAAAGCGGTTCTCCCACCATAGTTATTGCTAGCTCCACTTTCTATTCTCAACAACACATCCCCGTTTGGGTGATAAAGTTTGTCTTAAGACCACCTGACGAGGTCTGGTTTCTTCGGGGAGAGTCTGCTTCTCCCTGCCTCCGAGAGAGATGCCATATGCACATGCAGGCATGGCTGTCTCTAGAGGAGGCTGTGTTGTGCCTCTCGGGCTCCACTCTGTGCCTTCACAGCTGAGCTCTGCCCTCTATAGGTTGTGTGATTACGATCTCCGATTGGAGGATGGGTGACTAGGTTGGCCTTGGCCTCAGTTTTCTTAAGTATAAAATGGGAATCATGACGACAGTCCTGGTAAGTTGTAAGTGGCCAAGGCATTTTAACCAATATGGTTATTACTTTAGGGCAGGGAGCAAAACCTGGGAGCTCTGCAGACGGAGCCCAGCCTGCTAAAACTTCTGTTTGGTGAGCACAATGAAAGTTTCAAAGCTGAAAGTCTTTAGAAAGGATGCCCTCCAGTAGGTCAGAGGTGTCATCACTGTCTTGGGATTCTCCAGGCAAAAATACTGGAGAGGGTTGCCATTTCCTTCTCCAGGGGACTTTCCTGACCCAGGGATCAAACCTGGGTCTCCTGCATTGCAAGCAGACATTTTACTGTCTGAGCTGCCAGGGAAGCTGTCTCTTGTCATATACCAGCCCGATTCATGCATTGATTGCATGGCTACCCATTCCAGTTTTCTTTCCTTGAGAATTCCATGGACAGAGGAGCTTGGCAGGTTACAGTCCATGGGGCCGCAAAGAGTAGGACACGACTGAGTGACTTTCAGGACTAGAGGCAACTAGGCTGCCATTGTTCTGGACCCTCAGACATGCCTGGGTGTTGCTGTATGTGTAGGTCCCCTCCGCACCTCACTTCTCTCCAAGTTAGACTCTAACTCAGGCTCAAGTCCTCCTGAGAGGAAGATTCAACCTTGAAGAACTCCTTTCCTTGGTGCTGGAGCTGTTTCTCTGCATCCCCACGTCCCTTAAGGAAGTACCTCCATGTGCCTACAAATTGCTGGGAGTCTTGTTAAAAATGCAGATTCTGGTTCGGCAGCCTGGAGCAGGGGACAAAGATTCTGCACTTCTAATGAGCTCCCAGGTGATCCTGATGCTGCTGGCCCAAGGATTTAGGGAACAGTGAGATGCTGGGGAGAAGAGTTTCTACTTGAGACTCAGAGGAAGACCCCTTCCCAGAGCAGACTGCAGACTTTGCCTGAGCAGCGAGTCATTGACTCTCCTCCAGGCCCCCTCCTCTGACTCCCCAGCCCCCATATCCAGAATGGCCACCAGGAAAACACCCATCTCTGGAGGCAGGGTTGGAAACCTAGTTGGGAGATACTGACACCTTCCTAAGGGGAGGCTCAGCTTCAGAGAACTCTGACTGCCTTGTCCTTCATTCATGAGGCAGAGTCTGATCATCTTTCAGAACCCCTTCTTCTTAAGAGTTGACCAGGAACTCGCTACTATATGCTCTCAAGTCGAGTGGTTCTCAAAGTGAGTGGTTCTCAAAGCGTGGTCTGTGACCAGCACCATCAGCATGGCTGTGAATTTGTTCGGGTTGCAGTTGCCGTGGTGGGTCTAGCCCACGCAGACCCACGGAATCAGAAACTCGGAGAGAGGTGTCCAGCCATGGTGCTGAACAAGCACTCCCAGTACTGGCATGATGTTGGAAGACACCAGATTCCTTCAGGGAGTTTCCAGAAGAGAAGGCCCTGGGTCCCGGCAGCTGGTGGGATCGGCCTAGGTCCCTGGGGCTCGTTGCTGAGTGGGTGGCCTCAGTTGTCAGTCTGGGACATGAAACCTAAAAGGGGGGTTTGAGGACTCCCAACTTCAGGTAAGGAAAAGCAGGAGCAAATGATCCACCCCCCGGGGATAATTGTTTGACTTTATGCAAATGTTCTGAGCCATAAAACCAGCCAGTGATGCAGAGGAAATGTCTGCTCCGGGTACCCGGTGGTCTAAATACAGCCTTATCAGTGACTAGGCTTCAGAGCCCCTATTACACAGAGCCTTCACGGCATGAAATACACCACACCTGTGAAATGAAACGCACACGGAGAGGTTATGGGAGTTTTCAAGAGCGTTTTATTTTGCATAATACAGTTTTTTTTTTCCTGGCCAGAAATAGTATATTAAAAAGTCAGCAGGTATATAGCTTGTTTTAAAATTCTTATTACTTTACTCTGGCTATGCAGACTTTTATTTTTTTCCTCCTGCTGCTACTGCATAAAGATACAGAATATTCTATCTGGAAGGGACCCTCGAGACCAGTGAGTCCACTCCCTGCAATTCACAGCTGAGGAACTGGTGTTCAGAAAGGTGAGGTGACTTGCTCCGAATGAGGGCAGGGGGCAGGTACCCGGGATGCCCGAACCTCGTGGTCTGACTTCCCTGTTTCTTTCAGGGACCTCAGGCTAGGCAAGGGACCCGGGAAAGTGGTCTCATGCATTCTCTTGCTCGTGGAGCGCATCCTAGGGGTGGGGGTGGGGGATGCAGCGACGTCATTTACATGTGTACCCACAGGAAGAGTATCCAGCCACCAGCAAGTTCACTTCTGAGTCCGTAGTTCAGTCAGGAGCATCTTCTGTTCTTACTAAGGCTTAGAGGCCAGTCTCTGGGAAGCCAGCACCATCGCTCCTGCAGGCTGAGTGTTTGGGGTTGTGGAGAACATCCCCCTTCCCGGGGCTGGCTTTGTGGGATTAGGGCCTGTACCATAGCACTGCACCCTCAGGGACAGAGCGAAGGGACAAAGTAGGTGACTAGTTAATCCCACGATGGGATCACAAGTAGAAGACATATAGGAGACCCCTGTAAGTTAATAATTACTCAAGAAAGCAGGCTTGCTTAACTGCAAAACCAAGCAGGCTTGCTTAGCAACAAAACCACACACAGAAGCACAGGCATGCCTCAAGACAATAAAACAATGGCACTATGAGACCCACACTCTGCCCAGTGAGGTCATAAGTTAGTGATCCCTAGGACAGGCTCTCTGAACACATTAAAAACAGTAAATTTTAGACCTACCTTGACCATGTAGGGACAAGAAAACTCCCCTGACCAATCTGGAGGAGGAAAGGATGATGCAAACATGATGTTTACTCAAGAAAGTGGCTTCCCAGGTGGGGCTGGTGGTCAAGAACCTGCCTGCCAACGCAGGAGACATACACGATGCAGGTTCACTCCCTGGGTCAGGAAGATCCCCTGGACGAGGGCACAGCAACCCACTCCAGTATTCTTGCCTGGAGAATCTCAAGAACAGAGGAGTCTGGCGGGCTGCAATCCAGAGGGTTGCATAGAGTTGGACACGACTGAAGCAACTTAGCACACATGCACTCAAGAAGGACAAAGATATTCTTCTCCCCCTCCCCACTTTTCCTTTGATTATAAAATTGTAGCCCGCTAAGTTCTTGGGTGTGACGTCTCCTGCCTGCCCTCTTGTAAGCCACACAAGCATCTTATTCTAGTAAATCACTCTTAATCTACCACTTTGCTCTCCCTGAATTCTCTACATTGAGACGTAAAGTGAAAGTGTTGTCTCTCAGCCATGTCCAACTCTTTGGGACCCCATGGACTGTAATCTGTCAGGCTCCTCTGTCCATGGGATTCTCCAGGCAAGAATACCGGAGTGGGTTGACATGCCCTTCTCCAGGGGCTCTTCCCAACCCAGGGATCAAACCCAGGTCTCCTGCATTGCAGGCAGATTCTTTACCAGATACCGAGTCCTTTATTCAGTTTCACTCTGCACCATGCCCAGCACAGATGAGGTGCTCAATGACTGTTTATGTAATAAAGGGCATTTAGCTAAATTGAA